TTAAAAAAAGATATAAATTTAGTGCCATCATACTGCCTGTAAAGTCCTTGTTTCTGTAGATTGTCTCTGTAAATTTCTGGTCTGTATTACTCTTCGGGTCTTTCTTCTTTTATAGAATCCCCATTAATATTTCTTGCAGGGATGGCTTGGTGGTCACATATTCTTTCAGTTTCTGACTGTCCTGGAAACTCTTTATCTCTCCTTCCATTCTGAATGACAGCCTTGCTGGATAAAGTATTCTTGGCTGCATGTTTTTCTCATTTAGTACCCTGAATATGTCTTAGCAGCCCTTTCTGGTTTGCCAGATCTTTATGGATATGTCTGATGTTATTCTGATGTTCGTCCCTCCATACTTAAGAAATCTCTTACCTTTAGCCCCTCTCCAGATAGGTTCCTTTGCTCTAAGATTTGCAAGTTTCTCTGTTATATGCCAGGGTGTTGGTCTGTTTTTATTGATTTGGGAGGGGTCCTCTCTGCCTCTTGGACATGAATGCTTGTTTCCTTCCCCAGATTAGGGAAGTTCTCAGTAATGATTTGCTCAAATAGACCTTCTAGCCCTCTCTCTCTCCACCCACTTTGAGATCCCGATAATTTGGACATTGGTTTGTTTCAAGACATTATTAAATTCTTGAAGCCTTTCTTCATGGGCCATTAGTTGTCTTTCTCTCTTTCCCTCAACTTCCTTTCCATCAGCCTGTCCTCTAGATCACTTATTCTCTCTTCTACTTCATTTACCCTAGCTATTAGAGCATCTAATTTAGACTGCATCTCATTCATAGCATTTTTAAGTTCAGCCTGATTAGATCTCATTTCCACGCTTAGAGATTCTGTATTTCCATTTATGCTTTTTTCAAGCCCAGCTATTAACTTTGTGTTTGCTATCCTGAATTCTATCTCTGACATCTTGCTTATATCCATATCAATTAGCTCTGTTGCAGAGAACACTGCCTCTGGTTCTTTCCTTTATTGTGAGTTCCTCCTTCTAATCATTCTGCCTAGGGGAGGATGGGTGAGCGAATGAACAGATTCCAAAATATCAACCAAGAACCAAGCAAAATTCAACCTAGAAAAAATCTGGAGTGGTTGGAAGCCACCACAGAAAAGCAAATAAACCCAACATGAACCAAAACAATAAAGAAGGAGGGGGAGACTATAATCTCACAGGGTGGACAAAGCAAGGTGATCTTTTTCCTGATTGGATTTTGGTTGTGTGTTAGAGAACACTACATCCCAAAATTGCAAGGAAAGCAATGTTCTCATATATATATATATATATATGGTAAAGTGAAAAAAGGACTAGAGTGAGGCATAAATCTATAAAATGTAGATGTGAGGGGGAAAAAAGTTAAAAAGCAACTTAAAAACATAAGTTGGGGGGTGCCTGGGTGGCTCAGTTGGTTAAGCATCTGCCTTCGGCTCAGGTCATGATCCCAGGGTCCTGGTATCTAGACCCACATCAGGCTTCCTGCTCAGTGGAGAGCCTGCTTCTCCCTCCCCCTCTGCTACTCCCTCTGCTTGTACTCTCTCCCTCCCTCTGTCTCTCTCTCTCTGTCTGTGTCAAGCAAGTGAATAAAGTCTTTTAAAAAATAAAAACATAAAAACATAAGTTGGTGAAATAAGAATATAGTCGCAATGGGAAAAAGATTTAAAAAAAAGAAGAAATGTAAAATTTTAGACTGAAGGATAAACGATTCAGGAGGAAACACCTGGAGATCAATATATTGTTTTCCTCTGGCTCTGGAGTTTTACAGTCCTGTGAGATATATAAGCTTGTCATTCACCTGTTCTTCCAGTCTGTCTTCTAGGTGAGAGACCTGCTGTTTTGCCTGTCAGGTGTCTTGCCTGGGCGGAGTTGCCCCACCCCTTGTCAGGGGAATGGGCTTAAGGTTAGCTGGTCCTCTATGTGGCTTTTGTTCCCTGGTGGCTTTCTGCACCTTTTCAGAGGGTCAAAGCAAAAATAGCTGTGCTGGGATCTCTGGCCCAGAGCTGCAAGATTGTGGTCCCCCTTCTTCAGTAAACCCTCCAGGTCAAACCATCTCCACTTCTGTGTTCACCAAACTCGCAGACTCTCATGGTTTGCCCCCACTGCAATTCTCCCAGGAGGACTCCCTGGGGCCCACAAATGACACTTCGCTTTGTGCCTTTGCAACTGTGAGCTGTTATGGGCTCGCCTGTGCACCCTGCTCCACTGTTCCCAGGTCACGGCTGGGTGCCATCCTACTGTTCTTTCTGGGGCGACCACCACCCTGAGAGTTGTTGCTCAGTCATGGGCTCAGCCATTTCATCACTCCCAGGGGATGTTAAATGGCCCACACATTCCAGTCCTTTTCAGGGTGCTCAGGAAGACAGCAGTCTCCCTACTCACCTGGCTTGCAGTTTATAGCCACTGGAGCTGGGAGTCCTTCCTGGGCTCACTGACCATCACCAGTTTCCCCACTCCACTGCTTGGGTACTCTATTGGATCAGGCACCCCCATTTTTCTGTGCCTCCTGGGAGCCTGAGACCACAATGATGCACCTAGAATTCTGCTCTTTTCATCCCCTGTGCCTCTTTCAGAAAAGGATGTCTCTCACTGGAGCAGATTTCTAAGGGTTCTGATTTTGTGCTCTGGTGTTATATCACTTTCCAGTAGCCAGCTTATGGAGGCTCCCTCTGCCATCCCTTTATCTTCCAATATTTCCCAAAGATTCATGGTTTTTCACTTCCTACCTTGCAAAAAGCAGTCATTTTTCTGCTTGTAGAGTTCCTGATATATCTTCTTACATCTCAGGCTGAATTTATGTGTGTTCAGAATGTTTTCATAGATATCCAGCTAAATGTGAGGGACCAGATGAAACGAGGTCCCCTACTCTGCTGCTATCTTGCCTCCCCTTTTTTCTTTTTTTTTTAAATTTAAATTCAGTTAGCCAACATATAGTATATCATGAGTTTCAGATGCAGTGTACAATAATTCATCAGTTGCGTATAACAGCTGTTATTATTATTGTCCAAAAACAAATAGCCAGTCAAGAGCAGAACCCAGATTTATACCCAGGTCTGAATCTAAACTTGTGTTCCTTTAGTAATATTGCTCTGCTTAATACAGAAATGGGTTGTAGGGTGAGCACTGCCACAAACTGGCTCTGTAACTTAGTGTGATATACTGTATCACTTTGAATCTTATTAGTTTCTCATCTGTAAATTGGGATAAGGATAGGTAAAGTTCAGATTGCTCTGCATGTAATCTAGAGGAGGAAAATGGAAGTCTAGATAGGAGGGGCTTTAAATAATTGTCCAATACAAGTCAGTTTCATCCTCTGCAAGACAGTTGAATAGGTATACCAAGAACCCTCAATATGTTTATGCTCTTTAGTCTGGGCAACCCCACTCAGGCAGTGTGGAATAGTGGGTAGTGTTAGAGAGCCCTGCATTCAAATGCCAACATCCCATTTACTAGTTCTGTGGTCTTGGGCAAGTTACTACCCGGAATCTCAATTTCCTTTTTTTTTTTTTTTTACAAATGGGGTAATAACACCCATCGTTTTTACCCTTTTCTAAGGTAACAAAATATAATAACATGAAAAGAGGTTTTGAATAAAGGAAGAAAAATCTCTCCCATTGTCCTATCTACCTAACACAATTTTCTTTGTGGTTCTGTGCCACTGAGGGTCACCTCTTAAGGCAGGAGCCAGAGGAGAGAGAGACTAAAGACAGAAACAGGCTAAAGTGAGACCAGGGTCTAGGGTGTAGAGCAAGAGCACCCATGGGATGGGCTGGAGCAAAGGTGAAAGCCAGATACTGATGCAGAAGAAAAGAAATGCCAAATCTGAGTGATGGGTAACAGCTAGGCAGTACCTGAAAACCAGAGAGTACAGAAAGCCAGTGGGAGGACAACAATGTGCTCTAGAGGGGCCTCCTTCCAAAGCTTTGTGGCTCTTTCATTTAGGCAGGCTTCAAATGGTCTTAAAAGTCTTTGAAACTGTGCCAGTATATTTTGTGCATATATATTTTGAAAAATGCAACCTAAGGGTATATACTTTTTCATTGAGTATCATATCTTCAACATTTTCCATGTCACAAGTCTTCATAGTGATTCCTTTTAATGGCTTCCTAAATATTGCAATTTTGCTCATAGTCCAGAATGAACATTCCTGTGTGTTAACTTTTTGTTTCCCTTAATTATGTCCTTAGAATAAATTCACAGGTGTGAGATTACTGAACCAGAGAGTATACAACTAGGATTTAACAGCCAGATGCAGGTTTTATTTTTTAGGAAAAGAAATAAGCTATAGTTCTTCCATTACTCTTCCTCTTCTGGAACCAAGGAGTGGACCCTGTAGAGTTGTGCTGTCCAATTAACCACATGTGATGGTTTAAAGTTAAATTAATTAAAATTTTTTAAAAATCAAAATTCAGTTCTTCAGCTGCACTAGCCACATTTCAACTACCCAGTAGCTACATGTGCCTAGTGTATGGGAAAGTATAGGTATAGAAAATTTCCATCATTGTAGAAAATTTAATGGACAGTGCTCCCTTAAGAGTTTATCAAAGGTCATGGTTGGCATCTTGGGTGGGAATTATTTGTGGTGTGGGACTTTCCTGTGCATTGAGAGGCTATTTAGCATCTCTGACCCATGTCCACTACATACCAGTCGTGCTCTCTCTTGAATCAGTCTAATAGCAAAAACCTCCACGTCTGCAAATGTCCCATAAGGAAATAAAATTATCCCCTTTTGATACCCACTGAGCTTCAGTCTTAGAATAAAGGATCTTCTACTTTTGGGGGGATGGCTTCAGGTTGGATCTGCCTGGAGAAAGAAAAGCTTAGAAAGATGGCTTAGAAAAATAACCTTGGCTCAGAGCCTAAATCTCTACTCCATTCCCATTTTCCTCCCTTTTCCTGCTGGTCTGTTTCTTGCTTTTTGGTAATTGTAGGAACAAGACCATGCAGATGGAGAAGATCAAGTCACGTTTGAAAGCTGAGTTTGAGGCCCTTGAATCAGAGGAGAGGCACCTGAAGGAATACAAGCAGGAGATGGACCTGCTGCTACAGGAGAAGATGGCCCATGTGGAGGAACTCCGACTGATCCATGCTGATATCAATGTGGTACGTGGCTGGCTTCCCAAAGCCTACCTATGGGCCCTTTGAGGACTAGACAGTAGTGAGTACTGTGGCCTCTCTTGAGATGTGGCTGTGGCCAACTTGGGGAAGTAAGCATCAGGCTGTGGTGGAATGGAAGAATCCAAGAGTTCTGAGATCTAGCTCTGGCACTGTCACTGATTGACTATATATCACCGGACAAGTCCCTTTTTCTCCTGGGCCTCATTTTCTCTCTCTTTACTATGACAGGTTCAGTCACCTCAGAGCACTGATGTGCTCTCATCCTGGGAGTCTGGGAGTTGAGAGCTAGCCTTGGGGTAAAGCAGAGCAGACAGCTGCCTCTGGGGTCTAGCTCAAAGGGCTATAAAACTTCCAAGTAGGCTAAACGATCCCTGCCAGTCTACTAAAGTGTAGCTCCCTTTTTAGAGTCTCTCTTTTGGAGATACTTGGAACAGGGTAAATGAACTGCCTGCTAAGTTGATAAGTTCCCCAATTTTTGGAGTTATTCAAGGAGAGCCTGAATGAGCACCTGTCTGGGCTACAGTATTGATGCACCAGGAGGAAAGTTGGAGGTGCTGACTTACAAAGTCCTTTCAATCCTTAGAGCCTAGGACAATGAGAAACATTTTTTAAAAAATTACATTTGAAGGAGTTGTTTCTATTTTTGGGAAACTCATTTCCATGACAATACTTATTTCCTGATATTGCCAAGCCTAGGATCTTAAAAGAAATAGGAATGTGATTTAGACAGTAGGTACTTGGTATTTTCTGTGTCAGAGGATCACAGGATTCCAGGGTTTCATGAGCTGCTGCCAGCTAACAAAGGATACAAAGCCAATACAAATAACAAAATATTAGCCACAGAGGGACTGAGAATCTAAGCCAGTGGATGTCTAACTTAAACTTGAATAAAAGTCACCTGAAGAGGTTCTTAAAACAGATTATTGGACTCTACACCAGAATTTCTGATTTTTATGTCTGGGGCCATGCCTGAGAATTTGCATTCCTAATGAGTTTCCGGGTGATGCTAATGATGCTGATCTGGTGACTACATTTTGAAAACCACTGATCTAAGAGAAAAGCCACCAGCCTTGGAAGCTTAATCCCCGAGTCTTTGTCTATGCTTTGCCCCTAAGAAGTATTTCTCTGGGGAAGTTTCTTAAGTTTCTTCTTTCTGAGTCTCAATTCTCTGATCTGTAAAATGGTGGGGTGGACTAAATGAACTCTAAGGGCCATTCTAGCTTTAAGGTGCTATATTTGAATAATAACTACCATTTATTGAACCTTTTCTCTGTGGTAGCCCTTGTACTGAGAGCTTTATATGAATTCAATCACTGAAAATTCATAAGATTATATGAGGTAGGAACTATTATTATCACCATCATAAAGATGAAAAAAAACTGAGGCTTGACAAGAGTCACATAGAATACATGAGGACTTGGCCATAGATTGGTCTGGATCTGGAGCCTGGGTTATTTTATCCACTTAGCTTTGCAGAGAATGATGGTGTCTTTTCTCTGTACCTACCTCACTCTGTGTTCCAGATGGAAAACACCATCAAACAATCTGAGAATGACTTAAATAAGTTGCTAGAGTCTACTCGGCGGCTACATGATGAGTATAAGCCACTGAAGGAACATGTGGATGCCCTACGTATGACTCTAGGCCTGCAGAGACTCCCTGACCTATGTGAAGAGGAGGAGAAGCTCTCCTTGGAGTAAGCTGCCTATTCCCTGTCCCTGCAACATACACACAACACACACAACACACACACACACACATACAGAGGCGCATACACACACATAAAGCCTCGTTTAAAAGTCATAGTACCCAGTCCTAGCTTCAGGCCTGTCAGTAACTGACTCATTGTATGACTTTGGGCAAGTCTCTGTGTATCAAAATAAGGATGGTTAGACTAGTATTACCAGCTAGTTTTTAAAATTCTCTGTGCAATTTTGACAACATGAGACTGTGTCTATGACCCTGTGTGTGTGTGTGTGTGTGTGTGTGTGTGTGTGTGTGACTCTTAAGAGGTCACTTCCCAAGTCAAGATCTAGCAGGGGTGTCTAGAAACCTTTGAAAACATAGAAGGCTGGGCTTTCATGGTCTCCAGGGGCTAGCCTGGAACTTCATCTTAAGACCCAGAATTAAGAACTACACTCACCTTACAGAGAGAGTTCAGTTCAGGAGAAGGAAGCACACTTCCTTAAAGTAGAGCAAGTTGCCTGTGGAAGTGGTGAGCTTCATATTCCTAGAAGTATGTCAACAGAGGCCTGAGGATACTTAATGGGAATATTGCAAGGGTACATGGGAAGAACAGCAGGCAAATGCCCTTTAAGGACTTTGCTAGCCCTGGGAGTCTTGATTTTCTGGGTGTGTCAGAGCCAAGGAGGAGGAGGATTACCCTTCCCAGCAGACAGTGGCCCAGGTACCCAAGGAGAAGAACCTTGTGCTGGGGAGGGTGCAGGAACTTTCTATAGTGAGCCACAGCTCAACCCCTTTGGTCCTGTGTCATGGAGTCTTTAAGAGGGGCAAGGTTCTCCTTGCTTTCAGAATGATCCAGCTAATGTCTTTCATCTCCAAAGTTACTTTGAGAAGCAGAAAGCAGAGTGGCAGACGGAGCCTCAGGAGCCCCCCATCCCTGAGTCTCTGGCCGCTGCCGCTGCTGCTGCCCAGCAACTCCAAGTGGCTAGAAAGCAGGACACTCGGCAGACAGCCACCTTTAGGCAGCAGCCCCCACCTATGAAGGTAAGTGAGCTGGGTAGGGGTTGTGGAGGAAGCAAGGTATCTTCAAGCAGCCCCATGGAAGGCTAGGACTGGGGCTTTGTAGTTACCTATTTGTGCCTTTCTAAAACAGACTTTGCTTGGGACACAGAGGAAGGGTTGGTGTATATGTGCTATAGCAGACCAGCTGATTTTATTGTTTTATATTCCCCGAGGGGCTACAATGCAGGAAGGTTGGCAGATTCTGCTAAAGCATAATTTTAAAAAGTTAGAAACAAGACTTGTGCAAATATATAGTGAGCATGTGTTGTTAATGAGGGAGTCAGCAGGATTACAAAACTGGTTCCAAAAGCATTTGAGAAACAGATAACTATATAGTAAGAAAAGGAAAGGAATGCTGAAATAAGTTTGCGAAATTAAATACAGAACTGGTTGATGTCCTACAGAGCAATAAACTGTAACCTTTGTGATTATCTTTTCCTTGGAACAGAAATAATCTGCATCTCTACTGGGCAACAACCATTTGTAGCTGATTAGCATAAATCACAGTTTGGGCCCTAATCAATAGTAAATAGTCAAACAAAGGGACATTCTCCTAGAGCAGGGGTCAGCAAACTAGAACCCACAGGCCATGTCTGACTTGCTTGTAAATAAAGTTTTACTGGTAAACACATGCTTTTTTGTTTATGTATTATCTGTAACTTCTTTCATGTAGAACAATTATATTTGAGTAGTTGCAACTAACATCATGTAACCTGAAAAGTCTAAAATATTTACTCTTTTGGCATTTGTAGAGAACATTTACTGACACCTATCCTAAAGAATTAAATAATCCTTAATAGAGCCTGTTGGACTATGCTCCAATATAATGTTAAAATGATATGTAATTCTCATTTTGCCTTATTTCCAAATTCTGGATATTTTTCCTCAATAACCCTCTTTGACCCTCATCCCCTTATAGCCTTTACTTCCCTTACATCTGGCACTGATCTCTCTACTTGTTGAGAAGTACTAGTAACCTCTTCCTGTTGGGAAATCACAATTGCTTTCTGGACCCTTGGGGATCAGAAGGCTGAACCATAGGCTAGAAGAATCTGATCACTAACTTTCTTTGTCCTGTGTCCTCCCACCAGGCCTGCTTGTCATGTCATCAGCAAATTCATCGGAATGCACCTATATGCCCTCTGTGCAAAGCCAAGAGTCGGTCCCGGAACCCCAAAAAGCCAAAACGGAAGCAGGATGAATGAAGAGATGGAGAACCCATGGAGCTCTGCTACTCATAACCTCTCCCCTTGGCCAGAGTGATTAATGTCCTGATTTGAAACCACCCTACCCCACCTCTACTGAGTTTCCTATTTAATGTGATGGAAGCACAACCCCTCTCACTTTGCTCTTATTTCTTTCTTCTCTTGGGGTTTCTGACTTAAGAAGAGATATGGTTCAGGTGCTAATGACAGTGTATCTGATGATCCCTTCTCTCCCACTCACATTTCAACCCCTGCCCTTGTTTGAAGCTGAAGGAAGGGCACAAGGCCCAGATGTGATTCTCTGCCTCTTGTGTCTGATGCCTGGGGCCTAAGGGCTGAGGGCTGGAGGAGGCCCTTGTTTCAGGTGAAGGCTCCAGTGTGCCCCTTCCCTGTACTTTTGCCTTAGGCTCTGAAGGGACAACAGTCTTCTTGCTGGACTTTCCAGTAAACTTGGTGTATATATCTTCCCCATGTGCCCCTTCATTTCATCTCATCTAAGCAAGGGCCAGAGGTAAGTTGGACAAGCCCACCTTTTCATCTTCATTTGGGAGGCCTGGCTGTTATTATGGAGTTCACTCCCATGCCAGTCTCCCAGATATGCTAAAGTTCTCAGGTACAGGTTGTGTGTCTAGAGATCCTGAGATCCCCATAACTCTCATTTTTCAAATCAGTGGCAGAAGTTCCCCACAGTGAAATCAGAGAGCCACACCCACTCCGCAAATCCTAAATAACTTGCTGCCTAAATCATTGGGCTCTACTGTAGGGGCTACCTTAGGATGAGAGGAGCCCCAGGCTGACATCTGTGTTGCCAAGTGTCCAAAACCATTTTTGTTCAAAACCATTATTCTGGCACTTACTCAATGATATATCTTAGGGGTTAGAGGCGTGAGTTGAGAGTCAAGTGAATGCCAACCATTTTACATATGTAAGAGTGTGGGACTTCCCCTCCATTCATCTCTCCCTCTCTTGGGTCCACCCTCTTCTATAAGGTAGCCTCAGCTCAGGTCAGCTGCTGGCCACCCCCTTTCCTACAGATTCTGTTGATGGCCTTCCCTTACAGAAGAAAAGGCACTGGACTCCCCAGGCCCTACAGTTCTCCTCTCTACCAAAATCAGATCTCTAGTCAAGTCACTCTTAGACTTAAAGGACAGAGATGGGGGTTCGCTTTAGATCCAATTCTCAGTCCCTGGTTGGGAAAGGGGATATTTTCCTTTCTTTTCTTAACTGTAGTTTTAATTTGCCACAGTGTTTTTTATTCATAATATAAAAAGTTCCTCTGCTCTTTGAAAGTGAGAGTGTTATGTCTGTACAAATTCTTTTAAATAAACATTTGTTCATTGGAGTGAATGCTGATGAGTGCCTATAAGTACCAAGTAATAGAAAAGATATAGTGATTTTTCCCCTTCTGGGTAGCTCTTCACTTTTATTCACTCAACCCTACAAATGAGGAAACCAAACATACCAGTGCACAGTAATTTATTATTATTATAATTGCCATTTATTCAGTAATTACTCTGTGCCAGGTCTCTGCAAGATGCTTTATGTACATGATTGTATTTGATTTTCAAAACAATCTTTCAAGCTAAGTATTTTTATTACATTTTCCAAAAAGGTAAAACAAAGCTCAGAGAAATTAAATAACTTTCCCAGAGTTAAATAACTGGTAAGAGAAATTTCAAGATTTGAATCCAGATTTGGTTCTTGAGCCCATTTTTTTCTACTTTTCTCTACGATCTTTTTTTTTTTTTTTCTTTAAGCCTTTCTCCCTTTTGGGATGGTTTGATGATGGAGTAGTTGAAGTAACTCTAAACTAGAAATTAGGGACTAGGAATCCAGTGACTGATGCAGGAATACAAAGGCCTAGTTCCCTATAGAAATATTATAGGGAACAACAGTGAAAGACCATCCTAGTTTCAGAGCTCTCTATAGGGTGGACTGAGGTTTCCATTAAGACTGCATTGCGGTTCATCAGCACCCTCTGCTCAACCCTGCCTCCTCTAATGCTTCTCCTCTACAGGTGTTAATCCCAAGACCTCCCTAATTAACATCCTGTACATTAAATAGTCCCAGTGCTTCCCAGTAACCCAATAGCTCACAAAAATGCCTCTGTGCCTCAGTGTCCTCATCTGGAAAATGGGGAAAATAATAATACCCTCTTCTGAGGCTATTGTAAGCAATGCTAGGTACATAGTTAAGCACTCAATAAGTGTTAATTTCCTTCAAGTAGATTGAATGACTGGTCAAAGAAATACTATTTTTCTTACCTGATATTACTTCATCACCCCAGACTTTGTTCATCTACAAGCCTGCTTTTCAGGTGGCCCAGGCTCACTGTGGGCAAAGGGAGGACACTCAGCTGTGTGACTTGGGGTATATCTTAACCTGTATAGGCCTCAGTAGGTCCCTGTAAGTATATGAGGAGTGGTTATTGCTCTGCATCCTTGCACACTGGAGGTCAGATTCGTCAATTCTAAACATCAATTGTAGCACCACTAACTAGATCAGCCATTTCCCAGAGACACTCCTGAATGGGAAGGAACAATCATGTGTTGAGCACCTACACCTGCTAACCACTGGGTGGAGTGCTACTACCTCATTTAGTTTCTTTGGTTCATTTATCTATTGTTGTGAAACAAACCACCCCAAAACTTAGTGGCTTAAAACAACAATTTATTTGCTCATGACCTGCAATTTGTACAAGATTTGCTGGGAATAGCTTATTTATATTCCATGTGGTGTTGCCTCAGACAGCTTGGCAAGGTCTGGAGGATCCATGATGTCTGCACTCTCATATCTGGCACCTCAGCTGGGCTGCCTGGGCTTCCCACCTCCTTTGTTAGTATTTTATCCTCCACAGCCTCTCCTCCACTTGGCCTCTCATCTGAGTAGTCAGATATTTTTTACATGATGACAGGCTTCCAAAGGGTAAAAAACAAAGCCTTTTGTGGCATAAGACCAGAAGTGATATAGCAACACTGCTGCTGTACTCTAATTGGTCTAAACAAGTCACACAGCTAGCCCAGATTTAAGAAGTGGGGAATATCCTAATGGGAAGAGCTACATGCTTGTCAGAGATGGGAGGAATTGTTGGCCATATTTGCAGACAATCTACCACATTTTCCAACAACCTTGCAAGGAAGGTGCTATTTGTGCCCATTTTATAAATGATAAAACTGTGACTCAAAGAGGTAAAGTAATTGCCCAACAGCTAAGAAAAAGGCACAGCCAGGAGTCAGACCCAGGTCCCTTTTCCTCTAAGGCTGTGTTCCTTCTGCCTAACTACACTGCTGACAGGAAGTCTGAGACCTGCTTAAAGGAAAAGAAGGAAAGAGAAGGAATAAAAATAGAGTGAAATAAGAAGACAATGGGGATGTACAAGTTTGGAGACATCTGAGTGGCTCAATCGGTTAAGCGTCTGCCTTCAGCTCAGGTCATGATCCCAGAGTCCTGGGATTAAGTACCACATCAGACTCCCTGCTCCCTCTACCCTTCCCCCCTGCTCATGATCTCTCTCTCTCTCTCTCACTCTCAGATAAATAAATAAAATCTTTAAAAAAAAAAGAGAGAAAAGATTGAGGAGGAGGAGAGTAAAGGAAGTTAACTGCACTGGTAAAATCATTTACACTTCAAGCACCTTTTCAATATTCTCATTTGATGCTTATGTTAATACCCTGTACTGTTAGTCCTGCATGTATTATTATCATCCACATTTTAAAGATGAGACCCAGAGAGGGGAACTGACTTCATCAAAGGCACAAAGCAAGTTAAGAGCAACTAGAGCCATAACTAGAACTCACGTCTTCCAATCTTGTAATAACCCAGTCTGGGTACCTCTTTACATTTTTGACACAGTGGGGATGAATTTATTTTTAATCTGAAGATTTATGTTTTCCTTCCATATTTCATTTTTTTTAATTTCAAGATTTGACTTAAATTCAAGTTAATTAACATAGAGTGTAGTGTTAGTTTCAGGGATAGAATTTAGTGATTTATCACTTGCGTATAATACCCAATGCTCATTACAAGTGCCCTCCTTAATGCCCATCACCCATTTACTACATCCCCTGACCCATGACCCCTCCAGCAACCATGAGTTTCTTCCTTATTCCTAGGAGTCTCTTATGATTTGCCTCCCTCTCTAATTTTATCTTATTTTATTTTTCCTTCCTTTCCCCTATTTTGATCTGTTTTGTTTCTTAAATTCCACATATGAGTGAAATCATATGGTATTTGTCTTTCTCTGACTTGTTTTGATTAGCATAATACACTCCAGTTCCATTCATGTCATTACAAATGGCAAGATTTCCTTCTTTTTATGGCTGACTAATATTCCATCATATATATACCACATCTTCTTTATCCATTCAACCATTGGTGGATATTTGTGCTGTTTCCATATTTTGGCTACTGTGGATAGTGCTGCTATAAACATTGTGGTGCATTTGCCTCTTTGAATCACTATTTTTGTATCCTTTGGATAAATACCAGGGAGTGCAACTTGTGGGTCATACAGTAGTTCCAATTTACCTTTCTGAGGAACCTCCATACTGTTTTCCAGAGTGGCTGCACCAGTTTGCATTCCTCCCAACAGTGTAAGAGTGTTCTCCATTCTCCACATCCTTGCCAACATCTGTTTTTTCCTCAGTTGTTAATTTTAACTATTCTTTTTTAAAAATATAAGTTATTTAAATTCAATTTAGTTAATGTATACTGTATTCTTGGTTTCAGGGGTAGAATTTAGTGATTCTTCAGATGCCTATAACACCCAGGGTTTGTTACATCAACGCCCTCCTTAATACCCATCACCAGTTATGCCTTCCCCCCACCAACCTCTCCTCCAGCAACCCTCAGTCTGTTTCCTAGAGTTCAGCATCTCTTACAGTTTGCCTTCCTCTCTATTTTCATCTTATTTTATTTTTCCTTCCTTACCCCTGTGTTAATCTGTTTTGTTTCTGAAATTTCACATGAGTGAAATCATGTGGTATTTGTCTTTCTCTGACTGACTTATTTCGTTTAGCATAATACCCTCTACTTCCACTGATGTCCATGCAAATGGCAAGATTTCATTTTTTGATGGCTGAGCAACATTCCAGATAGATAGATAGATGATAGATAGATAGATAGATAGATAGATAGATAGATAGATAGATAGATAGATATGTAACATCTTCTTTATCCATTCACCTGTCAATAGACAACTGGGTAATTTCCATATTTTGGCTATTGTGGATATTGCTGCTATAAACACTGGGGGGGGCAGGTGCCCCTTTGAATTACTATGATTCTATCATTTGGATAAATACCTAGTACTGCGGTTGCTGGGTCGTGGTATAGCTCTATTTTTAACTTTTTGAAGAACATCTATACTGTTTTACAAAGTGGCTGTACCAGTTTATATTCCCAAAAAAACTGTAAGAGGGATCCCCTTTCTCCCCATCTTCATCAACATCTGTTGTTTCCTGAGTTCTTAACTTTAGCAATTCTGATTGGTGTGAGGTGGTATCTCATTGTGGTTTTGACTTGGATTTCCCTGATGCGGAGAGATATTGACCATTTTTTCATGTGTCTGTTGGCCATTTGGATGTCTTCTTTGGAAAAATGTCTGTTCATGTCTTCTGCCCATTTTTTGACTGGATTATTTGTTTTTGGGGTGTTGAGTTTCATAAGTTCTTTACAGATCTTGGATAATATCTCTTTATCTGATATATCATTTGTAAATACCTTCTCCTATTCCATAGGTTGCCTTTTAGTTTTGTTGATTGTTTCTTTGCTGTGCAAAAGCTTTTTATTTAGATGAAGTCCCAATAGTTCATTTTTCCTTTTGTTTCTCTCAAATTTTGAGACATGTCTAGCAAAAATTTGCTCCTGTGGAGGTCAAAGAGGTTGCTGCCCATGTTCTCCTCTAGGATTTTGATGGATTACTGTCTCACATTTAATTCTTTAATCCATTTTTGAGTTTATTTTGCTGTACAGTGTACAATGGTCTAGTTTCATTCTTCTGTGTGTGGCTGTCTAATTTTCACAGCACCATTTGTTGAAGAGACTGTCTTTTTTCCATTGGATATTCTTTCCTGCTTTCTCAAAGATTAGTTGACCATAGAGTTCAGGGTCCATGTCTGGGCTCTCTATTCTGTTCCATTGATCTATGGGTCAGTATTTATCCCAGTACCATACACTCTTTATGATTAAAGCTTTGATACACAGCTTGAAGTGGGGAATTCTGATGCATACAGCTTTGGTTTTCCTTTTCAACATTACTTTTCTTATTCAGAGTCTTTTCTGTTTCAATACAAATTATATGATTGTTTATTCCAGCTCTGTGAAAAATGATGATGGTATTTTGATAG